GGCTGCAGTGCACGGGCTGCACGTTCCAGAGGCTCCCTCCCCAGGCTCCCGCCTGACGCAGGCAAGGCTGCGATGCAGGAGTAGGCCAACCACAATGCACCTGCACACATGCCTTTGGAAGGGCTTGGAAGGGTTCTGCAAGGCTTAGCCAACTGCTTCACCCTGCGGTGTCCCAGGCGCCTCCCCGCCTAGGCTTTGGCTATAGGCCGGGGTCGGCGGATTATCTACAATAATATACAATTAAGCTGACAAGTTCTGAGAGTCAGATTTCAATAGAGTCGTTTATTGTTGGGAAATGGAAGAGGAGAAACAGAACCATGGAGCAGAAAAATTCAATGTCGTTGAGCTTTCAGGTGTTGACGATAAGACATAGGTACGGTGGGTCTCCAAACAATGTGGGTCATATCGAGGCAAACCAGGAGTTGCTGGCTGGTAGGCGGGGGACCGGGAAGGGGCTGGTCAGTACATAAACAAGAATTTGTTCGAAAGCACTTGGTTGCATTGCACTTTTTTCAACAGAAAACTCAATGGACCGTTGGACCATGGATAACACAGATACTGCTGTGCCAAAGTCTTGCGGAGCCCCTGGTCCCTGAGGAGACGTTTGTTCTTCACGGAGGCAAATGGGCCAATTCAATGCAGTTCGATGTATGCTTCAGACCAGTGATGAACTTGACTCTTGAACGCCTCATTGGCGCAATTGCTTGGAAATGCTTGGTTTTCTCAAAACCTCCATTGAACATACATCTCATGGTGGTGGTTTTCTAAGTCGAATTGATGTCCACCTCCCGGGTCTCCTGGTCCTTTCGGTGAAAATGCAGTACCACTGTTGGCTCTGGCATAGCTAAACATGGAAGCCGTTGCCTCTACATGTCTTCGCCTTTGATTGGAATTTCAGAGACCAGAATTTACAGCCCTTTACCGCATAGAGGGCTTCGTTTGTAGACGTGACCATGATGGCAAACATATTATACAATTCTGTGTACCTGCCGAGTATGATTCTTCGGATTATCCAGAGTTAGCCAGAAGTAAGCAAGATCTCACCACTACACTCATTGATACTCATCAGGTCGCAGCATCGATGGTTGCACAGCTGTGCAGATCGGTAGGAGTCTTGCACGGGTAGACTCCTCATTGACAAGAAATTTTCTGCGAATCTTTAGGGTAATGGCAAATCATTTGAGAATACAGAGCTAGAGGAACTGCTAGGGCCAGCATCAATGGCATGCATCCATGTATTCATCGAAGGCCTTGGCGTGAAACGCCCGCAGCTGCTCTCCTTTTCTTCTTTTCGCTTCCATGCTGTGACTCATGGGTATTGCTGCACTCGAGTGTGGCCTTTTTCCTGCCTGTATTTGCCATGGGTAGAAAAGACAAAGGACGGGTCGTGCTGTTGACATTGGCTTGGTATGACAGGGATGCACTTTGTTCGACTTGCATGCACAGATTGCACTTGATTGACAGGAATGAGTTCATATACGGCGGACGGCTTCAATGCCGTTGTGGCCTCTGACAATGGTGCCTTGACTGTCCCATAACTGAGTCCTGAGAATTTCTTGCAGTAAATTATATCCCTTATAGCCTTATATAATATAGTGTCGTATAATGAATCAATAATTCGGCGTTTACCTTTTGTGAACAATATTTGATTTCTGTGGGGTCACCATAGGGCAGAACTCCACGTTAGGGTGGAATTCCGGCTTGGGCTTAAGCTTGGACCAATGATAACCCACTTTTGCAAATGTTCTTTCTGAAGGCATTTGCGTCGCACGATACCGCCAAACCTCTTGTATCTTCCACAGCGTTCCCTTGCCCCGCCTAGAAACTTGTAATCCAGAGCAGATGTGCCTTGACATCAAGGGTTTGCTCATCACCCTGCAGCCCCCAAATCATCCTTGCAAGATCTCGCAAGTCATTTCTCCTCGCATTGTCCAGCTACATGTCGCTACCAGCTGCCTAGTTCCTGGCGGTTTAGGCATGGCCAATCTGACCCCATCGGGACTGCGATGTACAGTAATGCCGAGGTAATGTATATGCGGTGATGCTTTCAGAGATGATTTCGAACATGTTCAAAGAAGGCATGTGGTTCAAGGCCTTGACTCCGTACATGCTCATCATCACAGACAATGCTTCTTTTCTGAAACTGGATGAGCACCTTGAAAGAATGTCTGTGGTATGTTATTGATTTTTCCCCAAAAAGTGTGGTCACACTAGGGGTTCTTACGGTAATAGAAAAGCAGGTGTGCTTAGATCGCTGTTCCGCGCGGGCGTGTCCGGCCAATTCGCTGCTATTTACAGTACATTCATGCCTCTCGACATCATCAATGTGCATTCCGACTGTGCAGGCTCGCTGAATCTGGGTGTCTGCGGCGGGTGCTTCTAACGACTGCGCTCTCGTTGTGGCGCCGCGCGCATTTTCGCACATGGTGGTCACTTTTCGTGGCAGGCGCAAAGGAAACCTCGTGCTTTGGTGCTCCAAAGTCGGCTTTTCGTGTCGTGGCAGGTGCAGCACTTGGTGAACCTCGACGTCCTGATTTGGTGGCAGGTGCAGCATTTGGTGAACCTCGCTGATTTCGTGGCAGGCACAGCACTCTGTGACCCTCGATGTGCAGATTTCGTGGCAGGTGCAGCGCTTGGTGAACCTCGAAGCACGCAGAATTCGTGGCAGGCACAGCACTCTGTGACCCTCGATTGTTTTACTTCGAAATGCAGTTTTCGTGGCAGGTGCAGTACTTTGGACATGGTGGTGATCGTCGAGGAGCTCAGATTTCGTGACAGGTGCAGTGAATCGTGACTTTTGGACATGTGGCTCGTTTGCAAATTTCCTGGCAGGCGCAGCGCTTGGTGAACCTCGAAGTACAGATTTCGTTGCAGGCACAGCATTTGGTGAACCTCGAAGTGCAGATTTCGTGGCAGATGTCGTGGCAGGCGCAGCGCTTGGTGCACCTCGAGGTAGAGATTTCGTGGCAGGCGCAGCACTTGGTGAACCTCGAAGTGCAGATTTCGTGGCTGGCACAGCATTCTGTGACCCTCGATGCGCAGATTTCGTGGCAGGTGCAGCACTTGGTGAACCTCGAAGTGCAGATTTCGTGGCAGGCGCAGCACTTGGTGAACCTCGAGGTGCAGATTTCGTGGCAGGCACAGCGCATGGTGAGCCTCGAAGTGCAGAGTTCGTGGCAGGCACAGCACTTGGTGAACCTTGAAGTGCAGATTTCGTGGCAGGCGCAGTACTTTGTGCTGTCAGATGCTCACTCTCTCACTCTCCCACGCTCACTCTCCCACTTTCACTCACACTCACACTCCCTCACACTCCCACTCTCACTCACGCTCGCACTCACTCCCCCACTCTCACTTGCACTCGCACTCACACTCACTCACTCTCACTCACACTCATTCTCATCCACACTCACCCCCACTCAAAGTCACTCTCACTCACACTCACACGTACACTCACTCACCCACACTCTCACTCACTCTCGCACTCTCACTCTCACCCGCGCTCACTCACTCTCACACTCACACACACACAGTCACACTCACTCACTCACCCACACTCTCACTCACTCACTCTCTCACTCTCACTCTCACTCTCACACTCACTCACACTCACACTCACTCACTCTCCCACTCTCACTCGCACTCACTCTCCCTCACTCTCACCCACCCACCTTCAGTCTCTCTCACTCTCACTCTCACTCACACTCACTCTCACCCACACTCACTCTCACTGACACTCACTCTCGCTCACACTCGCACTCACTCAGTCTCCCACTCTCACTCACACTCACACTCCCTCACACTCTCACTCTCCCACTCGCACTCGCACTCCCTCACACTCACTCTCACGCACACTTACGCTTGCCCACACTCTCACTCACACTCGCACTCGCACTCAATCAGTCTCCCACTCTCGCTCACACTCCCTCCCTCACACTCTCACTCTCCCACTCACACTCGCACTCCCTCACACTCTCACTCTCACGCACACTTACTCTCACCCACGCTCACTCTCACTCACACTCGGACTCACACTCACTCTCCCACTCACTCACACTCACGCTCCCTCTCACCCACACTCACTCACACCCACCTTCACTTCACCACCACCATCACCTCTCTGGACCCAATGCGTCTAGGTCTCTGGACTTTCTGCTTACAGACCTCACACACACTGTTTGGGGTCTCTTGCCGGGATAACTTTTTCCAGACAATAAAACTACATATGCCACTTGTGCCAGCAGTTCATCCATCTAAACCACAGTTGTGAGTTCTCTTGTGGCTTGACCAGACGTTGTACAAGGATCCAATTGCAGTTGGCAACATGATGACGCTGAACGGCCTTACTCGGGCTTTGGTAGGTGTGAGACATACAATGAGACCGTTGTGCTGACAAAGTTGCCGCTGTTGGATGATTCTATTGTATACATTTGTAAAGTCTTACAATCCTTGTGATATGCAAATAGGTGTTTCCTGCGGCCGCTTGATGATCAACAGCATTGGAATTGATGCTGCGTCCCGGCTGAGCTACAGTACTTGTAACAGACGACTGCTTGACCCTCAAATGGCCAGCCGATCTTGCCTCATTCATCGGGGTCCGGCTGCTTGATGACTTGCGCCCTTATCAAGATTATTTGGAACAAATCACATCGAATTCAGAAAACTAGATACACAATGATGCCATAAAACATGGTTTTGTAATTGATTGTTCGCGGTGGAAGGAGAAGGTTCTATCTATCCATTTTCCACAGAGCGTCTATGAATTTGCCTACGAAGTCCAGTAGCAAGGACGCTACTAGTAACAAAGGGCATCGCTACTAGGAGCAAGAAACTACTAGTAGTTCCTGGCATTACTACTAGGGACAAGAAACTACTAGGAGCAAAGGGCATCGCTACTAAGAGCAAGAAACTACTAGTAACTAGTAGCTCCTGGCATTACTACTAGGAAGAAGAAACTACTAGGAGCAAAGAGCATCGCTACTAGGAGCAAGAAGCTACTAGTAGCTCCTGGCATTACTACTATGTAGGAACAAGAAGCTACTAGGAGCAAAGGGCATCGCTACTAGGAGCAGGAATCTACTAGTAGCTCCTGGCAATACTATATAGGAACAAGAAGCTACTAGGAGCAAAGGGCATCGCTACTAGGAGCAAGAAGCTACTAGTAGCTCCTGGCATTACTACTAGGAACAAGAAGCTACTAGGAGCAAAGGGCATCGCTACTAGCAGCCAGAAGCTACTAGTAGCTCCTGGCATTACTACTAGGATCAAGAAGCTACTAGGAGCAAAGGGCATGGCTACTAGGAGCAAGAAGCTACTAGTAACTAGTAGCTCCTGGCATTACTACTAGGAGGAAAGCTACTAGTAGCTCCTGGCATTACTAGGAACAAGAAGCTTTCTAGGTGGAGAATCGTTGTGGGATTCTCTGGGGTTCACAACGTCCCAGACTGATGAGGCCCTACTTGGCTTTGCTGGTAGTTACTTAAAGCAGCTTTGTAGAGCATGCCGCATGCTTGTCGCCTTGCATTATTGTCAGTTGTGACCAAAGTACGGCTCAATAAGGTATGGTTTGTCACCGGCATTGTGGGTGCTCTTGGCCTTTTGGTCAATGTGACTTTTCCCTCAGAGATCAGTGTTGGCTAAATTTCATGTTTAGTTGGATCGATGAAGCACATGCATTGCGCCGAATTTGTGACACTGTAAACATCTTTCCTCAGGTGATTTGCTTGTGCCAAGGGTCTGTTTTTGCCGCCTACGTTTTAAATTTTACATGGGCAGTTTGTAGCTCAGACAGTGAAAATCTTGTCGACAAACTCTTTGGAATGCAGATTTGTACTGCAACATTAAGTTCTGGAGAAGGAGTTTTGCGAGAGGAACGCAGAGCTGAAGAAAAGAGCTTCTCTTCTGAGGTGTACAATGGCTTATGGAACAGCTGCCTTGAAACTTCTTGGGCTCGGTCCATCTTCAGAAGTAAAAGAGTCGCTTGGCTATTGGACAAACAGACCCAGGTACTTGATGTGTGTTATGTTTCACCATGTTCCGTCAGTCATCTAAGGAAGATATCAATGGCGCACGCCAAATTACGAACAAGGTCACAACTTCCCTTGGACCACTTTTTTCCGCCGTGACTCATCCGCTTGTATCCACTTGTTGCTATTCTTTTTATAGGAACAGTTTGATAGAGGAAACCTCCAACAGGTTCGGCGTTCATATATAGATGCCGAGACCCATTGGTCCTTTATGCAAAAACATTCATTGTATGTTGTTTCATTTAAGGCGATCTTCCTTTCCTATGGCAATCACTGGGTTGGAGCCTGAAGGGTTTGCAGTTCTTTCATGATCACAGTTGACATCAAGATTCTCCGGCCCACATGAGTGGCATCTATTCAGGATGTTGGCCTTGTACAAAATGTCATGCTCTTCGGAACTGGTATGACCTCAGTAGTTGCAGCATGCTCAGCACAATGTGGGATTGTACACTTTGCAAGCCCTTGCAATGTGCAAGCAGCATGCACTTGCTCATTGCTTCCTTGATCTGTGGAATCATTGTTCAGTGTTGTTTTCAGATGTTTTCAGTCTTGTATATACATAAATACATAAATAACACATTTTTCCCCACCTGTCAGGTGAGGGTTGTTAGATTTTATGTCAGCTGCCTTCCTCCGCCTTGTCCGCCTTCGCCTTGTCCGCCTCCGCCTCGTCCGCCTCCTCCTCCGCCTCCTCCTCCGGACCTCAACCGCAAGTGCAGGATGGCAGTGTTCCCCGGACCTCAACCGCGAGTTCCGCTTGGCAGCGTTCCCCGAGCACAAACACACAACCACAAACACAACCGCAAACACACAATCACAAACACACAATAACGACCAGAGGACCCACAAGCATAATCCAAAACCACAAAGCCCACGACCATGGCAACATGCTCCTCACTTTGCGTGGAAACAAATAATTGAAATGTCATGGTGGGCAGTGGGGATCACTTGAAGTAAAGTAACTTGACTTCTGTCTCTTGCCCAAGTGCCTGTGAGGTTGCTTTGTGCTTTTTCTTTCGCAGCACTCAAGAGATAGAGCAGGCCAGAGCTTCAATCGAAAGACTTGGACCTTCTTCTGAGCTTTCCTGGTTATCATGCTTTGATGGTATTTGCAGGACTTACCGTTGCAGGATATTCAAAGCATGGAGCCATCCGGCTGGATGACTGCAACACTTTACAAGATTGCGAGGGCGGGTTATTCTCTTGTAGTTATATGTATATACTTACAGTACATGTTTATTCCAGTCTCTAGGAGAGTTGTAAGGTTGCTTTCATTGCCTCCACTTCACCAAGGTTCTTTTGCGCTTCAAATTCAAGCGAGGCCAGCTCGTCAATCCATTGTAAAGACTGTTTTGCCAACTGTCCGGCACAGGCTGAGATCTTAACGTTCGAACCGGACGCCATGTGCCAAACAGACTTCATGGCCGATGATGACGGCAATGTGAGGCACTTAGATTATATAATTCGCTTGCCCGCGGTGACCACGGCCTGATTGCAAGTTGTACAGACTCAATGCGTGCATGTATGTGATTGTGTCTGCAATTGTTTAAGATGTTCATGCTCAGTTGTTTAGCGGCCATATTATGTTTCATGGCGGGACAGCTGGCAACGAGGTTGTGTTGACTTGCCCGTTGGGAGGAAACTCAGAATCCTGGGCTTCTCGAATTCGACACTTATTTGCATTAGTAAGCATGGATCCTGCGAGGGTTCTCAGAATGGCATGATTAATTAGAATATTCGAACAGAATAGACTAGACTGCGATGTCCTTGGTGAGTTTAAACATATTCCCCATATACTTCATGATCCTTGAACTTGCCACTTGACTTTCCTGACCCATAACAGTTAGCCAGCATCTAGGACTGAGTTCCTAAGTGAACTGGAGTGAATCGTCAGTTTGCAAGCCTTCGGCTCTGACTTTGAACACAGTGAAGCCGTACCAACTTGTCTTGCTCAGGAATTCTGACGTCTGATTACAAGGAGACGCATTTCATCCTTGCCAAACAGCTGCTTGCTAGCCCTTCCGGTGGAGTCAGCTAGCAGACGGGTTCAGCCCAGAGAAGTTAGGTCATAAGCCTTTGTGGCAATTTTAGGCTGATTCTTGAATGTCTATGCATGTTTTTCGCTACAAACTGCAAAAAGGCGAGATGTGTGGAGTAAACTAAGGTTTGTGCTCAGTTTCCATTTCCTTTTTGCTAGCTTTTAGTTGGCATTTGTTTGACTTCGGATTTATGATGTGTGGCTTCCCACTACCTAATTCATCAGCAGCTGTTGGCTGTTGATCCTTAATTAAAGACAATAAGACCTGCAGCTGCAAAGTGCATATCTTCATTGGGATGCAGTGCACTGCTCCATTCCAGCAGTCTTTGCTCCACTCTTTCATTGGAGGTTGGACTTTGCACTCCCAATCTAATTACTCACCCTTGAGACAGTTTGCTTGAGCATTGTGGAGCATCCTCTTACTTCCTTGACCAGTGACAGTGACTGTATCAATCAACAATGAGGCTCAATGAGGGAACTCCTTTTTTCCTGCATGATTTCACACAAGCAAAAACAGAAACACATTTGCAGCAGGCCAAGACTTACATTCTGACTTTGAGGTTCCGGGCTTCTTTGAAAGGAGTTGAAGGTCAAAGTTGCAGCTTGTCTGCATCGTCATTGGTTCATGAAAGACTCTCGAGTGCTATGAACGACTCTGCTGCATGTTTGGCAAATGCTTCAGTCTTAGAGATACATGAGATACCAAACTTGAATGCCCAAACGCCGATTCTGCAGATCAGCGCCACGTTGATAGTTGATAGTGATAAAGTGTTTTTTTGAGATTCATATTTGATCAGACCAAGATTGCAGTGAACAGTGCTCCCAATTGCAAGTGGGAGAGCCAACAGCCAGCTCAAATGCCATGATGAAACAGGATAGTCTCTTCACAAACTCAAACACACAATCGCAATAGGAGTTGGACAGTTCTCCCCAAAAAAGACGGCCAACTCAGGTTTGCTTTGGTTTCGAGATGCTGCCCGGCCCTGCCTGCCAGTACAGATTGAGGAACTGCAGATTTACTTGAAGCAGGCCAGGGCCAATGGTCTACACTGCAGGTTTGGGTTGTGATAGTTGCAGCATTTGTTGCTAACCTTTTTCTGGTTGGATTTGAGAGGTCTTCGTGAGTCAGTGGTTGGGCAACAGGGTTTTGAAACACAATGAATCAAGGATTGAAACTAGCAACAGACAAGCCTTTTCACAATGCCAGAACAAAGAACTGTTGCGAACACAAGTGCACAAGCAGCTGCATGCAACAAGCTTGACTCCTCTTCCAGCAACACTGAGCTGAGAAGCAACAACGGGGGAGAGGGTGGGAAGGCAACAACCGGCGCTGTGGCAGTTTGCAAAACGGAACCAGCTGCAAAATGGCCAAGAAGCTGGTTTATCAGTTAGCCATTTATGTCAGTCATTCCTGATACCGAGGTTGGCGAGGACTTGGACGAAGTTCCCAGAGTCAATGGAGCAAGGAGTGTCTTGATTTCTGAATGGTGCTGGTAGTTTGTCTACAATTTGTTTGCATGCTGAAGTCCCCTGAAGCACCCTTGAGTGGTGCAGCATTGAATGATCTACAGTCTTCGATTTAGATACAGTTAAATGCAGGTATTGCCACACGCGTACAAGCCACGGCTCAATTCACTGATTTGATGTATAAATATGGATTATATTCCATGCTATAGCCAGCTCAGGCACCATAAGGTTTAGCATTGATCCTGACGCACTTCATCCACCACAGCATTTTTCTTTGCGGAGGTTCTGGAGGAGCATCCTCCTTGGAGCCTTGGCAGCGTAAACAGCTGTGCGTTGCGCCTGGACATTTCTTAGTTGCCAACCCCCAAGGCAGCAACAGCCAGGTGTTGCCACAAGAAGGCCAGATGGACAAGCTGCAGTTTTGGTTCATTCATTTGCGGCGCGTTTCTTTTCAGTCATTCATTTTGGTAAATAACTGCTGACTGGAGGCTTGAGCAAGGCCCTTCTCCGCACTCAGGAGCGTGAAGGACTTTACACCAGCACTCCTCCTGCACAAGTTGAGTCAGTTGCACAGATTGCCAACGCGATAAGCAATGACATTGGACAAGATACCTTTCAAGATCTAAGGCAATGAATGTTGGAACTTTGGGAAGCATGAGTTTCACGAGGGGCACGAGTCCACAAAAACTAGCTTCCGTTCTCCTCCTCTCAACACTCTCAACAGCTGTTTCTAACTGCTTCCTGTTTGCTTTTTGTTTTGTTTTTTTGTTTCCCCTATTCTGACTTGATAACATAGTGCACCTCAACCAAAGGCATTAGATCAAGCATTGACCCACATAGAACTTCACACTGAAACCTGTCCCCAACACTGCAAATTCATGAGGTTGTGGAGGGCTGTGTGTTTGTCAGCGCTTTTGCGTGTGTGTGTGTGTGTGTGTCAAACCCTGTTTCTAAGGGCTGTTCATGTGCAGGGGGCCATCCCTCTCACCAGTGGTGGATGACCACCGAAGTGGCCACTGGTGAGCGCTGTAAACGTACCTGCGCAAACACACCGACTCCAATGGTTCTCCTCCCTTCACGGTTTTGTTGTTTTCATGGTGGTTTTTATGCTATTCCCCTAAACCTCCCCCCGCAGAGTTGCTGCTGAGCCACCTCTGCTTTCTGCAGACAAGTGAACCAATTGTTAAACATTCCAAGTGCGCTGACTCCTTCACCGTGCCGTTCCCTCGGCCCTTTCACTGTGGACTATGATACTGGATGAACCTGTGACTAAGTGTGTCCCACCCTGTATCCAAGGGTCTTTCTGAGCAGGGGTCAAGGCGCGATATCACCAACCTTGACCAACGAAGCTGGGTGATATCGAGGGTATGGGACTTGGCCAGTCTCATGTACCTGCTTCGTGACAACGCCCCAAGTTCTTTCCAGCCGTTTGTGCAGCTGCGCCGCTTGTTGCTGATGTCTCGCTGCAGCCAGCTTGAAACATTGTTGAAACATCTCCAACTCAGCCGACCCAGCAGTCTTGCAAAGTGTGTGTGTGTGCACACCTGTTTCCAAGAGATTCTTCGACACAGATTTTGTCGATATGAGTTTTCACTAAGCAGGGGGCGACAGCGACACGGTCACTGCCTAGCTGTCGCCAACGAAGCTTTTTGCAGCTGACGCCTGCTCGTGAACACAACGACTCCAATGGTTCCCCTTTGTCCAGGCTGTTTCTCAGGTGCTTTTCCAGGTTGTTTCAACCTTTCTGTCGCGCTGATTGATCGCCTTGCGGTTTGCGAGTCAAGGGCAGCGGCTGTCCTGGTGCAGCAGTGAATCACACACTGAAACTTACGCTCATTCATTTGAGCTGGCTATGAATCTATGAATCTAAGTGTGTGTGTGTGTGGAGAGCAACTCAATGGGCAAAAAGTCGTTTGAGGATGTCAAGATAGTGGCTCAAGACGGGGATCCTGCCATTCGGAGTGAGTGTGGGCACTCGGACTTATAAAGAGGGATCAATCGTGTCCAGCATACGAACACTTGACAACAGCTGAGGATCCCCATCAATGCAAATCACGATAGAGATGAACAAAAAATCATTATATACGTCGAGTAAACTGTTTGGAATTTAAGGATGGTTCGGACAAGGGTCCAAAGCGACGTAGACGGAGGTTTGCGACAGTTTAGTTCCATGTTCATGTTGGGGTCGGGGGTGCGGAGGCCATCGACCTGCCACATCCTGCCAGTCTGACATTTGTATATAATTGTATATATATATAAGCGCAATACAATCGAAACTGCTGCAGTATCAGGCTCTGGTTGTACGGCGGCAAGATGTGCATTTGCCAACCCATCTTAAAGGACCATCAATGTGAAGGCTTCGGTGGTTTCAACATTTGATTGAGTGCGAAAGTTGCGCTTTAAAACACTGGAAGTGCTATATTTGTACTGCCAGCAGATTCCTGCGTTGTTCGTCGTCAGACAATTCGACAGTTCATCAATGAACAAGGCACAGTTTACACATGAAACACCAGCCCAATTCGGGACTGTCAGCTGCCGCAAATATTGGGAAAACTGGGGCAGCCCTTCACCCTGCTCAAACAGCGTTTGCATTGTTTGAATGCGCTAAGGGCTTATATGTGTAAGGCAGTGAAGCAACGTACGTATAATATATATATATATAGTATATTTACTGTATATATATGTTACATGTACGTGTCCTGTTACAGTTTGAGCGAAACAATCAGATCGCAAGCAAACTTGACACTTTGAACAACACATCATTGGTCAATAAAGATCTAGCCTTCACCTCAAATCTTCATACAAGATTCCATCGGCGCCAAAGAGTTTGCATGTCAAAGAAAACTCAACCAGGAAGAAACATACAGTAACATATATCCAAGATAATTTGAAGAAACTGGAGTTCCCAAATGGGAACGCTTAGTAGCCGCTTAGTCCGTAATTACCCGTTTCGGAGCTCCATGTTCTTCAAAAATTTATTGATGTTTATTCTTTAAATGTTCTTGGTCCAACTGTCGGTGAATTGAGGGAACCCGACATCTCACTTTTTGCAAGCATGCTGCACCAAATCTAAGGCATTATTGACAGGCCTCAATGAGTCAATGATAAGATGGTGTCAACCTTATCAATATCAACCCACCCCTTACTAGCGTGCAGACAAGATTGTGCTGCAAAACTTGACAGAGTTGTGCTTCTTTGCACTGTAGATGTTTGAAACATGTTTGAACACCTTTGGAAAACTGTAGCTAGGCTATGCTAGGCTAGGGTTGTTCCCCACCTGTCTACAAATTCTTGGAACTGCCGTGTTTTCTCGATGCCCCGTGGCCCCAGGATCTGAGGACCAGCTTCCTTCGAACCTTGCATGAATTCAATGGGACTGGGCGTCGGGCAACACTCATCCTTTGGTGTAGTTTCTAGCTACTAGTAGCAATGCGCGTGTTATTTGTTACCATGCTTCACTGAAAGCGGTTCTTTTCACTTGAGCCAAACACGTAGGCGTTTCAGCCTGTGGTCTAGTGCACCTAGTGCACACTTCTCGTTTTCGTGCGTCCTGTTTCAAGAACCGCACTCCCCCCGACCGGCGTCGGTCGTTGGAGGTTCACATGTTCCTCGGCCCTGTTCGCGCGAGGAAAAGGGAAAAACCAACCCAGCTGCCTGGACCAGACAACTCAGCCCGGCGCCAGTCGCTGTCGATGGCCACCCGCCGATTCCATTCCGCGCCCTCCCAAGCGACGGTAACCCTCATGAACTCCAAGTTCTCGAATTCTTCGGGGCAGCTGCGATGTTCCGGATGGAACCTCTGCACCCTCGCGCCTCCATGGTGGCGGACGAGCCACCGGCAGTCATCCATCGACAGGTAGTCCCACCTGTCGCGCTTGAGCGCTGGTTTGTAGAACAGCGCTTCCTCCTCTATCAAATCCTGAACAGCGTCCAGGATCTGTGGCGTCCAGAACACCGAATCCTGGAACTCCAACTAATCATCCATGAGCCCCCCGCAGTTGAGCAGGCGGAGCCTTTCCCGGCCGGTGCCATGGCCGGTCATTGGCCGGCTGCTGCATCCGCTCCAACGTAGGAGGTCCCATAGAGCTCGAACTCCTCGCTGCGGTCGCGGACTTGGAAACTCCTTGAAGAGTAGTTCCGGCCTTGGAGCGTGGCCCCGTTCAGCAGCTGCATTTGGCCGTGAAGATGAACTCGATGTAGCCCCCCCATAACCACGCCGTTGAGCAGGTACAGGAGGTTGTTTCACTGGTGGTTGTGGAGGAGCCTTCGCTGGCGGTGACTTCACCAAACGTTCATTTGGGATGAGGCGGATGGTTTGGGTTTCCATGTCCACCTCTTCAGGGCGTAACACCCTCATGCCCTCACTTGTAACCACCATTGGAGGCCTCGTCGCATCATACGTGCCCGCGTCCATCGCCTCTTGCGTCACCCTGGAGTTGGTGTAGTGCACCTCTTCCGGCTGCCCATGTTCGCCTCCAGGCCATTCTCGACCACCTCGGAAGACAGCCGGCAGCCTCATTTGGATGCGCCGCCTCCATCCCTGTGGTTCGAGGCTCTGTCCTTGCCCATCTTGGTGCCCCTGCGGCTGGAGCTTGGCGCGTGCTCTTCACCAAAGCCGGCCTCCGAGCGCTTGGTTCGGCGCTCTGAGTGCGTCTCGCTGGCGTTTGTTGCGCCAGCAACTCATCCAGCCTTTCATCGGCTGTCTGCTGCCTTTCCTTGGATGCGGATCGTCGCCGGCTCAACATGGATGTCATGACGCCGCGAACCGCTTGGGCTCATAACCCATGCTTCACTGAAAGCGGTTCTTTTCACTTGAGCCAAACACGTAGGCGTTCTAGCCTGTGGTCTAGTGCATCTAGTGTACACTTATCGTTTTCGTGCGTCCTGTTTCAAGAACCGCAATTACGAATACCGATGCCGAGGCCCTTGTTATTGGCAGCTTCTTGCTACTAGTACACCCGTTTTTTATTCTTGTTGTTTTTCACATCGTCTCACGCGTTCCATGCATGATGCTTTCAAGCGTTGAAAGAGCACAAGCGCACTGGGATTGAATGGCAGTGACCGGTCATCACGCAGAGCATCGCTTGCATCCCGTGAATTTCGCGACAGATGCGTGTCGTGGCTGTTCATTTGAGATGAGGCGGACGGTTTGGGTTTCCATGTCCACCTCTTCAGGTCGTAACACCCTCATGCCCTCACTTGTAACCACCATTGGAGGCCTCGTCGCATCATACGTGCCCGTGTCCATCGCCTCCTGCGTCACCCTGGAGTTGGTGTAGCGCACTAGTAAATGTAACATTGGGACCTCCCACGTGGGTAACTTACATTTTGAAACTTCGGATGTCTACTTAATTATTGCAGGGGGGGGCAATGAAAAATGTAACTAAGGGGGGATTCAATATTAATCAATTTTATTTCTATTTTATAATTTATAAGCGGTCTTTGCAGCTAGTGGTGACCCACCTGGCAAAGCATGCATGAGATACCGCGCCGCGTCGCATCAAATTGAGGATTTTGTCACAACCAGTGACCACTACGAAGACCCCCTTGCTGTGGTGGTGCGTCTTTTTGCTCTTCTCGATCTCGTCCGTGAGTTCAAAGAACAAAGACATTCTTGTCGACAGTGAGAGCCACGTGTGCTTCTCCTGGGAAGGCTACAGAATGTCACAGAGCCCAAAGATCTAGAATGCTTGGAATTACAATGTAAAAGCTGAAACCCAAACAAAAAATGTAAGCTATGAAAGCGGTAGGTGAAAGATATTTTGTGAAATACCAGGAAATGGAAGGCAATCTCAGAACGCTGGATACAGCACGGCTGAGTAGTACAACGTAGCCTCATAGCTCAATCGTGAGTGAAAACTAGGACACGCTAGGACTAAACCAAGAATGCCTGGAACGTAAAAGTGGAATCCCAAATGAAGAATGTAAGCTATTAAAGGGGCAGGTGAAAAGCATGCTGTGAAACACCATGAAATGCAAAGCAATCTCAAAACGCTGGGTAATGCACGGCTAGCTGCGTAGTAGATCATAGCTTGGTAGCGAGTGAAAGCTAGGACCA